CTATTCGTTTTTTTCACAGCTGCTTTGAAAGCAGTCAGAAATAAACCTAGAGGACTGCTCATGCCAGCCGCAGCCGTCCCTTAGCAAGAGTGCCGATGGAACTCCTTTTTTCCAGAACTGCTTAAAAGCAAGCTGATGACGGTAGTTCCATACCACATAAATGCAAAGAGAAGTTTGAAGGGCGAAATGCTGATTCCACATTTAGGCAACACCAGTGATGACAAACTTCAAAAGAAGGAATTCCCTAATTAATCAGTACAATAAAAAAAATATGAGGAAAAAGACTTTTTTATCAAAAAAAAAAACCAACGTGGCACTAGGAACTGACGGCTGCGATGTATCATTTGAGGAAGCGACTGTTGCTGAGGCTCCTGAAACTGAAAACTCATGGAGCTTATTTCTAATAAAAACGGTGAACTATTATTTCATCATGACCCTATGATCCGCAACTTTTAGAACGAAATGGTGTTAATCACAAACATCACACAGGATTGACCTGGAAGCTGCAACCTAATCGACGATATCCAAACGCGTCTAAGCCTCGTCAAGCGCCTCTGCGGTAAAAATCATTGTGCGGTAATTTCTTCTGAGACGAAATGTTATAATTATCAGCTGGCTCTGATGACCAGATGATGTAGTAGTGGTCAATGAAACTGAAAAACTCGTCATCTGCACCGAAGTGTTGCTTCAGCTAGGCAGATGACGGTATAAGGATGTATTCGACGATTTAAGGGCTGAAACTTTACGGGCACTTTCCCCGCCTATGTACAACTCAAATATTTCAAATTTAGCTCCCGAGTATACGTGAAAATTTTGGTGGGAAAATTGCTAACTCGGCAACCAGAAGTCTTCTTGCACATGATACTTAGACTCCCATCCTACCAATTATTATAATATTTCTAGATTCATATATTGTCAAAAGCTCTGTTCTTAGGATCAAGTTTTCAAGCTTTTTCAGTTTGGGAGTTAAATCAGACACATCCCCACAAGCACATAAGAACTCGCCATAATCCACAATAAGTTTTCGTGATGATTTATATAAAAAAAAGGGCATTTAAAAATACCAGTGTGCTGTGGCGGTTGGTACTCGGCGCCACGGCGACGATGTGCGGCACGATTGGCATACGGCGCGAACTGAGCCTCAAAATCAGCATCCCGTTCATCCAGTGGTACCATATTCGCGTTGAACATTGAAATCGGAAGCGCACGTGGTGGTATATCGAAAACCGCTGGTGGCGGTGTCCAGTATTCCGCGAATGGACCGAAGTAGACCGGATGGGCGCGACGTGAACGACCTGTAGGTGCCAGTAGTCAAAAAAGGAACATGTGAAAAGTCGAATAAATATTGAAGCGTCAAGTTCGATAATAATAATCCCTCCCCCTTTTTCCACGTCTTTCCCTTTGCCCTCCAATTTCTCTAGTTTTGAACGATTGGATAAATTTGGTGCAGAATAAAAACTGATACGAGAAATGCCCGCCAGAGCAACGAAAAAGAACTAATCCTTTCGGATCCCGACCGCTCCACATTTTTTTTCCTTTGGACCGTTCACTTGTTTTTAAGATTACGATTCAGCCTTCTAACGGCCGCAAATGATTATTCACAAAAATCCACTTTCAGTTTGTTTCCCATACTCACACTCCGTGTTTACAGCTAAGGGATGAAAGACAGACTGCTTCGCCAAACATGTCTCCGCCGCATGTAGTATTTAATCTCTTATCTTTTCTTATCATTCCATTATAGACCAGAAAAACAGTGCTTCTAACTTGACCATCAGAACTGTGCCAGTC